GGCCTGGGCTGCTGGGGGGCCTCCCCCCCGCTCCCCTCCCACTCTTCTTCCTGCTCTTTTTTATTTTTTAAATTAATGCTGCTTTGGGTTCTGTCTTGTTTATATGAAAATAAAAACAATCCAAAAGCTTCAGACGGTGCCTGGCCCTTCCCTCAGGCAGGGCAGTGCTGCAGTGAGGGGGGCAGGTACCGCACAGGTCCCCCCAGCCCCTCGGCACCCCCTGCCCCATGTCCTGGCCCTGCACTGGGCTTGGCCCTGGGCTCAGCTCCCTGCTGGGCTTTGGCACTGCCACGGGTCACGCAGGTGCTCGGCCTCCTCTGTGGCATTAATTAGATCAAGTTTCTTCAGAGTTAAAAATAGACCGTTTCCCCCCTGCTCCAAGCCCGGCTCCTGCTCCAGAGTGGCTCTGGGCTCCCCATTCCCAGGTGCAGGGTGATTTGGGGAGCGGAGCGGTGGGTGCTGAGCCCCTTCCCAGCCTGGCTGTGCCCTCCTGCACCGGCACTAACGCAGCGTGGGGCAGGGGGGCTGGCGCGCAGGAAGGGCCAGAGCCGGCTCCCCAGACACTCTCTATTGCCCACAGCGGAGCTGGGGTCAGTCTCCCGGCTGCCGCCCGGCTCCCTCCTTGTCCTGGCGCCTGTGTCCACGCGGCGCCGCATCCTGGCGGGCTGTGTCTGGCCGCTCCGGTGCCGGCGAGGCCGGGGCGCACGGGGTTGTCACTCGAGCAGCTCCATCCAATGCACGTTGGCGAAGGTGCGGCTGTCCATGCGGTCGATGAAGAGGACGCCGTCCAGGTGGTCCATCTCGTGCTGGATGATGCGGGCGGTCCAGCCCGTCGCCTCCCAGCTCACCGGCTCCCCCATCTCGTCCACACCTGCGACGGGAGCAGCCGCTGGCACAGGGCTGCGCACAGGCGCCCGCGCGGCTGTCCCTGTGTGTCCTGCGCCGGGGGAGGGAGGGCTGGAGACGGGAATGGGGGGGAACAGGGAACCCCCTTCCCAGGGCTGGGCTGGGTGCAGATGGGGTGTTGGTTTTTTGGGAGGGGGGACAGTATTAT